CAGAATCGTGTTTTATAAAATATTATTGAATATTGTGCCTTAATTTTGAAGCAAACATTTAAGACTGAGATAAGCCAGAAATCTATGTTGTGTACGTTTAAGGAGCATTAGGTACACATTAAACTTGTTTGGCTTCTACCTGTGTACGATTTAATTGTATGTTTCATAATGCTCTGGATAATAGTTACATCAGTGCTTTTCATACATCTTCATACCTCATGAAGTATTTTCGCAACGAAATATAATTTTTAAGTAATGAGAGAGAGAGAGAGATGACGGAGTGTTTTTATTACGTAGGTACACGCGGGGTTTCATCATGAAATTTTGAAACATGATGCGTAAGTTACATCGGAACCGCATTTATCATATATTGTTTGTCTGGAGATATAATGTCATGCATAAATCAAATTTGACGCAAACAATTCGGCCTGATGTATTGAGTATGATATACTTGCAGATGGAATGTGGAGGAACCAATTTAGAGAACGGGTTTACAGTGATGTCTGTACTCGTTTAAAGACGTCTACTCATGAACTTTTTAAGAGAAAATAAGGGTAAGAAAATGTAGTACGAAATGTGTACTCCTTAGGCTTACCTTCTTGATGATACGTTTGTGTTGATATTGGAAAAAGTGCTTTGACAGCAGACACAAATCCTTCCAGACATTCGCTCATCCTCAGGCCTAATGATACAGTCTGATCTATGACTCTTATTTTGGTAATACTTTCTTTCTTTAATTTTAAGATACTTGTCAATCAAATCCTAATTTTACTACCCTATACTTTAACCTACTACTTCATTAAATGAAGGTTGCAAAACAAGCTTTTGTAACATATGAACAAGGATTTCGTTTCTTCGGCCATATTTTATGCGACGTTACGGTACTAAATACACACTGCGAGTACCATTGCTGTTTTCACTTCATGTTTAGGAATATTATCATTACTTCTCTGTTTATCACGGTTACGTATAAATTCTTAACAATTTTCTTCTTTTAGATTATAATAAAAATAATCTTTCAATAATTAGGAGGAAGTAATAGAAAAATTATTTTTAAATTAACAAAAACATTTTCTTGTTAAATAATCGATAATTATTATTAGTTCGAATTAATTGCTGAGTTATAGAACATTGAAAATAAAGAATTTTAAAAAATTAAATGTTAAGTAGATTAAGAGGCATTGGGAGAAGATTTAAGAAACAGTATTAAGTATGTGTATTATATAAAATTATAAATTAATTTTTAATTGAAACAAAAAGAAGCTTGTTCAAGTTGAAGTGGTCTGTTTAATTTGGCTTTTACGAAGGATAAACGTATATGAAGAATGCGTATCATTCTTCCATGTTAATTAATCAATTATTAATTACTGTTATCATTGTTAGGATTTACGTGCTTTTCTTAACAATGGGGAGAGATTATTAGAATAAATACATTTAATGTATTTAAAATTGGTTCGTTTGACGTTTAACTTGAATTATATATGTCTTCACTCAAATCACACATCACATCTCATTGCAACCAACACTTTATAAACAAGAGAGACAATAAATGCACTAACCTCTTCCCCTTGACGTGGATGGATGACTAGTAACTGATGTAGCACTTGATGTTGATACCAGATCGTTATATGTCAGATCTTCCCTGCTATTGTAACCGCTGGATAGCGACAAATTGTGACTATTATGCCCCTGCGATATGGCTTGCGGATTTTGAGGCGTACGGGAACGAGTCCTCGAAGCGACACAGTCAATGGCTTGTAAGTTCAACTCGGGTAAACTTGCTCTCGCGCTACTGCGAGCTCTTGTACTGTTTCCACTAATGTTATAGTTTGTCTGCTGAACTTTATGCTGAGACTGCCAATCAGTATCTGGAAGATAACGATCAGTTTAAATTATCATTGGTTAAGAGCTAAACATGATCTTGTTAAGCACGAATAGCCAGTGTGTATTGATAATTGCATAATAGATCAAGGATTGCGAAATTATTGTTAAATAAGAGTTAGATATATTCATACTGGTTGATAATTACCTAGATATGATTCTAAGCCACTGCCATGACTTTTACGTTCACCTCTTGCTCTACTTTCTGTCTTAAAGGAATTACTTGAATGTTTACAGGAAGAAGAATTATTAAAAACTTCAGACGATTGTGGATCACCAATAGTCTCTCTACGTCTTTTTTCTTCTACAGTGACTGGAATAGAACCAGTGCTCTGTCGTTTTCTATAACTGCTACCACTGCTAGAGCTCTTCCCTCTAACCTTAGAGGTGTTTGCTAAAGCATTGGCCGTCTCTACAGACCCCCCTGATGACAACTGATCTTGTTGATCTGCCATAGATTAATCGACTCATGCCACTATACTGTCTGTAACAAAGTAACGGAATAAATACATGTAGCAATCTCGTTTGGACAAGAGTATGCAAAGCAATTGTAAAAACAAATACAACAATGTATGTACTTTGATGAAATGTCATGTCATATATAATGTTATATATTATAAAAATTAATATTTTAAATACATTGAATAAAACGTTAAATTGAGTCTTCATATAATAATTTTTAGTTGCTTAACAAATATCGTACATTGAATTTGCCTTTCATTCTAAAATGATCATTTCGTAATTACGAAATTTCTTTGCACAAGCAATGTTAACTGCGTTTATTTTTAATCGACGAAATGAGTTTAAAGTGAACAAAGGAAACAAATATTTATAAACATATTCGTTACATAAAAGCATCGGGGAAGGTTGAGTGTAAAAACTCTGATCGCCGAAGGCTGTAACAAAGGAATATATACCTACTTTGAAATAATGTATTTAAAAAACCGATACTAACGATATTATAATTCTGACAGAGCAGGCTAAACAGAAATCACTTATTACGATGAATCTATGCGCGTTCTGATATGAGCGTGACCAAATAATACAGCGGAGGCGATGCGCAATTAATGTTTTCCTCCGCGTTGAAAGAGATAGTAACAAACCGAAGAATCATAACAAACACAACAACTGGTGCCCGTTTATAATATCACGGCCGATGGGAAATCGTGCCGTTGACATCATAGGACTCTCTTCTAAGAATACTAGAATTACACGGTCGCTACGAAGCCACGAATAGACTCGGTACACTGTAACGATTCAACGAGAGACGTAAATAATTATAACAAAGACTCGCAAGTGAGCAAGCCACCATTTGCTTGCGAACAAGTAATGGAGGACGAGTTCTTTCTTCGTCTCTTTCTCTCTTCCGTTTCTACGCTCTCCGTCAGCGTGTGACCTCAGGTTGAGGTTCTCGAAAACGAGAACCCTACTTGGCTATGCAGATCCCCGAGCGAGAAAAACAAAAAAATAGTCTCGCACGGGGAAGAAATGGGGATCAGGGCAAAATCTCGGATTCGTCTATAAGATTACCTGAATGTCGGAAAAACATGCCCAGGGCATCGCGAGGAAAATGTCTTCTCTCGTTGACGATTTTTACGAGCGCAACGTATATTCTCGATTACACACGACACAGCTCACACGGCAGGGAGACGTGAGATTCTCGCGCACGCACGTATGCACAACTTTGACTGAGTGGCTATGTAGTCTTCATATAATAATTTTTAGTTGCTTAACAAATATCGTACATTGAATTTGCCTTTCATTCTAAAATGATCATTTCGTAATTACGAAATTTCTTTGCACAAGCAATGTTAACTGCGTTTATTTTTAATCGACGAAATGAGTTTAAAGTGAACAAAGGAAACAAATATTTATAAACATATTCGTTACATAAAAGCATCGGGGAAGGTTGAGTGTAAAAACTCTGATCGCCGAAGGCTGTAACAAAGGAATATATACCTACTTTGAAATAATGTATTTAAAAAACCGATACTAACGATATTATAATTCTGACAGAGCAGGCTAAACAGAAATCACTTATTACGATGAATCTATGCGCGTTCTGATATGAGCGTGACCAAATAATACAGCGGAGGCGATGCGCAATTAATGTTTTCCTCCGCGTTGAAAGAGATAGTAACAAACCGAAGAATCATAACAAACACAACAACTGGTGCCCGTTTATAATATCACGGCCGATGGGAAATCGTGCCGTTGACATCATAGGACTCTCTTCTAAGAATACTAGAATTACACGGTCGCTACGAAGCCACGAATAGACTCGGTACACTGTAACGATTCAACGAGAGACGTAAATAATTATAACAAAGACTCGCAAGTGAGCAAGCCACCATTTGCTTGCGAACAAGTAATGGAGGACGAGTTCTTTCTTCGTCTCTTTCTCTCTTCCGTTTCTACGCTCTCCGTCAGCGTGTGACCTCAGGTTGAGGTTCTCGAAAACGAGAACCCTACTTGGCTATGCAGATCCCCGAGCGAGAAAAACAAAAAAATAGTCTCGCACGGGGAAGAAATGGGGATCAGGGCAAAATCTCGGATTCGTCTATAAGATTACCTGAATGTCGGAAAAACATGCCCAGGGCATCGCGAGGAAAATGTCTTCTCTCGTTGACGATTTTTACGAGCGCAACGTATATTCTCGATTACACACGACACAGCTCACACGGCAGGGAGACGTGAGATTCTCGCGCACGCACGTATGCACAACTTTGACTGAGTGGCTATGTGCTATGTGCTATGTGCACTGGCACTGCACTGCACGGGGCACACACCGAAAGACGCACCGAACGCACTGCCGAGGCACACTGAAGCGAGCCAGCGGAATGCGACAGCTAGCTATCGGGATCGGGTTGGTTAGAATTGGGAAGCTGGAGAACGCTCCGCCCCCATCAGGAAACGTCACACACAAACTCGTACGTAGGTGCGTTCGAAAACTGGATGCCCGCGTGGAATGAAATCGCAATTCATAATGCAACAGCAGACGCAAAACCGGCGCGAATAACCATCTTGCAGCAGTTTTTTCAAACACCGACTTTTACTTTCTCTTTGTCTACGACGTAAAATTAGCCGCAAACAGTTGATCAGATATCAACGCGAAGCTCTTTTAAACGTACAATTGATTAACCTCAAGCAATATTCCTTATATGCTCCCTGTAATTACATGTGCCTGTACATGCGTATGACTCAATATGTTGCACGCAACACTGCACGCCATCCATTGCAACGTGCACACAACTTTTATTTTCATATTTGTAACGTTTGCACGAGCAATATTTAAAACTAAACATTATTAAGAAATAAATTAATTACTGAACGATATTGGATCTTGCTGGAATGGAATATAGTACACTAACCTGAATGTCGTTCTGATTCAAAACATGATTAGGTTAATAGCGAATGAACGTTAGACATTGCACAAGTTAATGCTTTAACACGTAAACTAATGCTTTTGCTATGTAACGAAAGAACAGTACATAAATAAAGTAATACGTGAAGAATGGAAATTGATATTCTTCATGAGTCTCATTAATCAAAATGAATCACGATCACAAACGTGTTTATTGACAAACAAGGTATAGAGCATACTTTTGAAGTATAGACCGCATACGATACACGGTTGATAAAAATTTGGCCTTCGTCGTTTTGAAATTCTGTAATACCTCGCATTTACGACGTCGTAAAGTTCATCCGTGATTCTATTGTTTGATTACGACAAGTATGTTACGCATCGGTTGTGATTGGTCGAAAACCACATTTAGTTGTGGCCAATTGTCTATTAAACTGAACTATTTATCGAGCTCTGTCAAAACATCTTGGAACGAATAAGACAAACAGCTTGCGATAGATAAATTGAATAAATATTTTTCTGCGACCAGGCGATTGTCAAAGAGTGCAGCATTTATCGTCGATTTTATCACGGAACGATTACTCACCGAAAAAGGGAACTCCTCCCTGGAAGTCAGTCGGACTCCAGTTACGCAATGCGATGTGCGAGAGGACACGTGAAAATACAGACTGTGGCGACTGTGCTGTCAAGTCGATCGGAGCGTCGTCTGCTACGATATCTCGACGACCGAGGATTATACGCGATGCAGGTTGTTTCGGTCGATTCAAGTTGTGGAGCACGTGGCTTTGTACGCAGCTAACGCCTTCTGAAAGATGATTGGCCGACTGAATCCCTCAAGTCAACCAGACTTTATTATTTCGTAAGAAGGATAAATTCAAATACTTATTTAAATAATTCTTTAAAAACATTATATAACCAACGTAAGCGAAAGCGGTTTCTATCTACCGATTAAAATGAAGTAAGTGTTATTTATATATTTACAAACGCGCAGAACATTATTTACACATTTGGAAGGCATAGGTATTGAAAAATTCATTATCAGCATAAAATCATCAGATTTTTTAATGTATTTTCGTTTATTTGTTGCAACAATAACTATAATAACAATGTGTAACTATCCCGCCTGAGAATTATGTATTATTTCTCATTAATACTATACAACAGCTGTTTCAAAGATTCTTCGTTAATAGTTTGTAAATTATTGGTGTTATTGTTTACACCGGCAAAAGTTTGTTCCATATTTGTATTAATTATGTCCATGTTATGTACTGTACTTCTGAAAGTATCGTAAGGTCTCATTATATCTTTTTGTGTAGGCGACGATACTCTCAAGTGTTCCATTTCAGCAGTAGGCGAAGACAATCCATTTTCTAGTGGTGATATCACCATTGAAAAGAAGTCAGCATTTTCCTCATTTCCCGAATTTATTGTCTTGCTAGTTTCAATGCATTGTTTGAGCACAGGATTATTAGAAATGCCTGACTTCCATGCATTTCTTTGCTCTTTATCTTCATTATTCATAATCAGTTCTTCTAACTTTTGTTTCTTATTGGCACTAGCTTGCACTCCTTCACTATTAGGTTCCTCCGTTACAATATGTTGATCTTCAGCATTTATTATTAGTACATACTTGTTCTCTTCATTATTTATGATATTTAACATGGACTGACCATCTTTTAAAAAACCTTTCTGAGTTTTACTCAAGTCATTTGTTACATTTTGTGTATTTATTAAATTGATTGGCGGTTGATCTGTGGTATTTTCTGGTTGCAATTTTTCTGTTTGCTGTGCTGGACACTTATGTGTTCTTTGACTCACCTGTAGCAATAAATGATTAATAAAGTTACCAGAATTCCTGTATAATTTTATATATTTCATATACATACCTTGTATCTGAAGCATTTTCCACATGTGGTACATTTGTAAGGCATGATACCTGTGTGGATTCTTCTATGTACTAAATAAGAAACACGTTGACGGAAACATTTTCCTATAAAACAGATAAGCAACAATTATTTTTTCTAAATCGTCTGTACTCATGATTTAAAGTAAACTTTAACAAGAAGCACAAGACTGTTATACATACATCACAGAAAGAGAACAATCCATGTTAAATTGTTAGTAATAACTGAAAACAAAACATGCATTATTCTAAAGTTCCCACAATGATTTTATCCTTATCTTAGATAAGTCGACATACCGCAAGTTTCGCACGCGAAAGGTTTTTCTCCTGTGTGAATCCTTTCGTGATTGTGTAGGGTAGATAATTCTTTAAACGATCTTCCACAAGTGGTACATGTATGTGGTTTGTCATCTTTGTGGTACAACCTATGCTTGTGATACGATTGTTGAAAGGTGAACGTTTTATTGCATATATTGCACTTGTAAGGCATCTCGCCTGAATGCAATCTCTTATGCTTTTTTAGAAAGTACTTTGTTGTAAACATTTTATTGCACACGTCGCATTCCCACTGTTTAGCCTCGTGCGTTTTTAAATGCTGCATCACATGTTGTTCCTAGAACAGTACATTTTATTTAATTCCATTTGCGATATTTAAGTGAAATATAATTACCTTCTTAAACTTTTTCCCACACGTCGGGCAACTGTATTTATTTTCATTAAGTATGAGTTCAATCTGTCCACCCTTGGCTAATGATCCTGAAAATGTGTATTCGTTAGTATCTGCATGTTTCATTATTGAAGTATCGAATTATGGATAGAAATTACCCAGGTTGTATCCCATGTGTGCTACTCTCATGTGCACCATCAAACTTCCCCTCATTTTAAATACTTTCGAACACAAATGACACGAATAATTCTTAAGTAAATTCTCAGGGACAACATTCAAATCCTTTTCGTCGATCATATGTACCAATTGTTTGTGTAAAAGTAAGATATTATGGTCAGGGAAGTAGAAGCCACATATATTACAACGTTCAGTCTTTTCATTTGTCGATGAGGTTTTTATAAGTTTCAAGTGAGGCAACACCTCTTGATGTTCAAGATTTTTGTTACTTATAGCAGATAAATTCTCTGTCGCATTTTTACTATTAGCTTTCTCTGATAGTACATTAGCAGAAGCAGTCTTAGCATTTGGAAATTTACTCGTCGTTACTGTATTTTTGTTATCATAAGACTTTTTCTCTTCCACTACGTTCTTTGTCAAGTTTTCATTTTGATGTTCGTAATATTGATCTTGCATCCAGACTTTAAATGTCGAGACATTTTCATATTGTATCTCAGGATAATTTTGTACACAGTTAACATGCTTTACATCTTGATCAGGATACTGCTGCGTATCATAGTTTACCTTGACTGACTCTTGTAATATTTGTTCAGATCCCTTTTGCGAGTCTATTTTCTGATTTCTATAGAGGATCTCTTTGTTTCCGTAAATCAAATCTTGCAGAAATGTAACTTGAGGCACATGATTCGTTTGTTGATCTTGAAGGGAAACGTCTAAACTCTCGTTCTTAGAATCTTGTTGAATTTGAGGTGATATCAGATTATTATTATGAACGTTAAAGTGGCTCTGTAATATTTTATTTGAATCTGCGATTTGTATTTTAGACAGATTCCAATCTTGAACAGTGCCAGTTTCTAAATTATTTATTGCTGATGAATTATTACTGGTGACGATGCTCGCAGGTTTCGATAATTCTATTGAGTTGCTGCTGTTCAAATTAATAGTATGACTAAACAAATGAATAGTAAGCTTATCAATGCCAAGCAATACTTCATTACACACTGGGCATGTGAGAGGTCTTGTTGCCACACTTATTAATCCTGTTCGCAATGCATCCAATGTTAAAAAACCTGGTTGTGAGCACAAGGGACATGCTAAAAGTCGTGCACACATATTTCTTACCAATCGTTATTTGAAATATATATTATTTGTGCTATTACTTATTGTTCCCCTCTCACAGAACACCATAATCTTATTGTACTTTTAATTGCATGAGTGAAGCACACGAGTCTCCTTCATCTCTGATAATAAAAATTAATTCTCGTAAGGGCTTAACGCTGGCTGTTAAAATGTTCAGCGTGTAAAGACGCAAGTTCAAAGTGACTGATCAATTTAAATTTAACATTGTCATCTGCAATGTTATCGGGGTTATGCCTGAACTTGACCCAGTAGCACAAATTAAAGTAAAAATCAAAATCGTACCTTAAAAATTGATCAGTAAAAAGAGGAAGCTTGTGAAAGAAGAAGCTTTCTCTTGTTTCAAGTTCACGGAATATGACAACATTTTATATCTGGCAGTCTAATTATAGAATGAGGATTTCAGATATTTATCTGGGATTCCTTTGATTCTTTGCTGGGTATACACGATACTCTCTCGAAGCTATATTTAAACGAGAAGCGGGACGTTTAAGAAGAAAATGTGACAGAGGCAACGGCTCGTTTATTACGTTAAAAAAGTATAAAATTACAAATAACGATGGACGTCATTTTTAATAAGCTGGACATTTGTATGGTGTACCGTTTTTACAACAGTATTCCCTTCCAGCAGAAAGATTCGTGTTAATCCACCCGCTTTTACAGTTTTTAATAAATAAGTAAGCCTGTTACAAGAAAAATAATATCATAATCTCGCTATAAAATAGTTTGGCTTATTGTAAACTACATATGATGAAACTTACCCTTTGTTTATGACAATCATGTTCTATTGAGCTACATATTATTTTAGGACTGTTTGGTAAATGTTTAATAATCTGTAAAAAAGAAACAGTTGATAGTTCAGGGAATAAGTAATTAATATGTTCACAGATTAACTTACAGGTTCCAAACATTTGTTTATACAAAGTCTGTTTCCGGCTGGGGTGCACGGAAGTTCGTCAGGCAGATCATTAATAAGAGCGGGATTGCCTTTAGGCGCTTCTTTGCTGCCCTTCTTAAACTGTCCACTTAAAAAAATCCCACAGGCGCAACCGACTGGAGGCTCAGTAATCGAAATTTTAACGGTGCTATTTATAGCTTCCACTTTCATTTGACTATCTGCTAATGCAGACGAAAGGCAAACAACTAATAATAGATACGCTTGATTCATCTTTCTGTAAAAAAAAGAATTTAATAACTTTAATGGTAGATTGTGAAAATTTAATTTAGTCGTACTCACATTGGTTGAACTGCCTGCTTTAGCTGAAGTGCTGCAGATCGGTGAGTCGGAGCAGGTTTTGTTGAAGGTGCCTTGTTGTGTATAGTCAGCATTTAAAGTGGGGCAGACATTTAATAAGCAATGTTTCATAATGTGATAATGTGCCGTTCATGTTTGTGTATGAAAATGTTTTATTCTTCTTTCAGTCGTGGGATACAAATAAATATATACGGAGAAAATGGTTGCATACTTTCTTATTAATAAAACGATATACGTTTATTATGCATTTTATGACTTCTTAATCAGTTTTGCGTTTCCTTTCAAAACAATTTTCTCTCCATTTGCGACACAGCTGTATTCACATTTCATGATCTTCCTCTCGGAAACAATTTGCACTTTTATTTCTATCGTGTCCCCAGCATAACATGGTGCTGGAAACTTCAAATTTTGTTCAACTACTATGGTCCCCGGACCTGGTACCTTCGTACCAAGTACACCTGAGACCAAACCATTGAGCAGAGCACCGTGAACAAGATTGTTTGAAGATTCAGTATGTATCGGGTTGTAGTCGCCAGTTAACTTAGCGAAATTCAATACATCGTCTCTCGTAATTGTTTTGAAAACTGATATCTCATTAGCAGCGTTGACAGTTTTCAAAATATTCGAATCTCCTGTGCAATATTTCCTCAATAGTCCAAACAATGACTTAGTCAACTTCATTTTGTTTCCGTTATCTAGTCAGTTATTACATTTACATTCTATTCATCGACCTTAGTTTCTACTGACGGTACAATTGTGGTGCAATCGTTCAAGAATACTGTTGCCAAATTTTTAACACGATTACTTTCATGATTTGACAAATCAGATATTTTCTTAATTAAATCCGTTGTTACTTCATCCTTAGATTCAGGTGTAATTAGATATATTAAGCTAGTAATTGCTGAAAGTATGATATCTTCATCGTGTGACAAAAGTAAGCTTGTTAACAACGGAATCCCTTGATTTCGCAATATGTATAATTTATTAATCGGATCTGAAACGTAATTCGTATTTTAGTCTCTGATTGTTAATATTTCTTCAAGAATAACAAATATCATAATATATTCTTACCGACGCATGCATTACAAATACCTCCAGCTGCGAAGCGTACTAGCTTTATATTATTATCTGACAGAGTGTAAAGAAACAAGTCAATTATTTTAAGCTGTCTTATGTAATCATAATTTATGGGATCATACGCAAAATTAGCGAGGTTCGCCAGTACCTGTTCCTTTGCTTCTGTGGAAAATAATTCATTTTATTAATTAAAATTCTAGTCAATCGTAATACTTTTATTACCTCTAGACTTAGTAGTCTTGAATTCTGTAGCTAAAAGCTTCAAAAAATCGTAACGACCGACAGGATTTTTTCCGGTGCGTTTTATTAACTTCTCCTTACTGGTAAACATGGGAGTGCAAATCTTTTATCAATAGAAACAATTGCCAATATTACAATTTTTATATTCTCGTTAGATTACTATTGTAAGTTGTTATCGAATACTCGAATTATAATCGTAATAAGACAAACATTTTATACTTAGTAGTTCACTTAATCCCATTCTTGTATTTCATTGTTTATTTATCTAGAGAGTGAATGAAGTATAGTTGAAGTTGAGAGGTCAGGTCGAACTTGAGAATATGTATGGTTCTATTGTTCAATATAAAAAGATGAAGTTTGCCTATACGTACAATTCTGAAATTGATAAGTATTAAATACGCACATGTAAAATACAGTAAATATATGCATTCGCTATCTGAAATATTTATTAGCATTGCATTTTAAATGGATTAATGTACGAATAGGAATAGGACTTCATCCGGATATGACGTTTCAAGAAAAGTGTCAGCCTATGCAACTGCGATTATAGTCAATGACCGGACGTTACGATTGATATAAAATTAATCGTATTGGTGGACGAACTATTTTCTGATTTTCTGCATTGTTTTAATATATAAAACAAATCAGTGACTCGGTATTCTCATTGAACGCGGATTGAACGTCGAGTGCACGTCGAGCGTATATTCGAACATACCGTTCCTTATCGTAATTTCTATGAAAGTGTCGGACCTCGTCATGGTTAACACGTAGCCGGTGTTCAACGTGTCATAGACCTCCTGATCCTAGCCTAGGCATAGTGGTTTAGTAATTTGTTGCGGGCTGCTTCTTGGTTTGCAACGTGTCAAATAAAAAACAAATGTTAATATGTCGCTGGCGAACGTCTGTTGAAACATAACAGTAAAAATATCTATCACGTTCGTAGTATTTCAATGAAAATATGTTGCCAAATAGAACGAGCACGACGAACACCAGAAAAGATATGTTCCCTGATAAGAAATCGACTTCTAAGCAAATGAAAACTTCCACGTTAACAAACGCCGTTGGCCTTAGTTCCTTAATTACATTCACCGTTTTATTACTCGCTTGGATTTCGGGATTTGCCTCTCGATTATTTGCGGTGATACGTTTCGAAAGTATCATACATGAATATGATCCATGGTACGTATTTCGATGTTATCACATTAAATACGGCTTTTCACTGAATTTCTGTTAATATCTTATTGTTTGTAATCTGTATTGCCACCGTCAAGTATATTTTGTTTAAATATAGGTTTAACTACAGAGCAACAGCTTATATGGTGGAACATGGATTTTATAATTTTTTAAATTGGTTCGATGAAAGAGCATGGTATCCGTTGGGTCGTATCGTAGGTGGAACTGTTTATCCTGGATTGATGATAACATCTGGGTTCATACACCACATATTACATTCATTAAACATCCCAGTGCATATAAGGGACATCTGTGTATTCTTAGCTCCAATATTTAGTGGCCTTACAGCCATCTCTACGTACTTATTAACGAAGGAAATATGGAACGCAGGAGCTGGATTGTTCGCAGCTTGCTTCATCGCGATTGTACCTGGCTATATCTCAAGATCTGTAGCCGGGAGTTACGACAACGAAGGCATTTCCATTTTCGCGTTACAAATTACATATTATCTATGGGTGAAGTCGGTTAAGACCGGCTCTATTTTCTGGGCATCGATGACTGCCCTGTCCTACTTTTATATGGTATCTGCATGGGGTGGTTACGTCTTCATTATCAACTTGATTCCCCTCCACGTTTTCGCGTTGTTGGTCATGAACAGATTTAGTTATCGCCTTTTCACGAGTTACACCACGTTCTATATCCTTGGACTCCTGTTCAGTATGCAAATACCCTTCGTGGGTTTCCAACCAATTAGAACATCGGAACATATGGCAGCGGCAGGCGTGTTTGGTCTATTAATTTTTGTGGCAACTCTTAGGTACGTAGATCGTTCAATAGGATCGTGTTGATACGCGAGATGTTCTAATGCGGCACATTTATTATTACAGATACTTAAGAACTGTACTTACGAAATCTGAAATGAAATACTTTGGAGGGATAGTTACGGTCACAGCTGGTATTCTACTGTTAATTTTGATTTGTTTAACTTATGCTGGTGTCGTTGCACCTTGGAGTGGACGATTTTATTCGCTTTGGGATACTGGCTACGCGAAGATACACATTCCAATAATAGCATCTGTTTCGGAGCATCAGCCGACAACGTGGTTTAGCTTCTTCTTCGATTTACATATTCTGGTTACGACGTTTCCTGTAGGTCTTTGGTACTGCATTAAACATATTAACGATGAACGGGTTTTTGGTAAGATTTTATTTGACAGAAATATTCATCGATCGATCTCATGTACGTATATTTTTTAATTTCCCATTTGCAGTTATATTGTATGCTATAAGTGCCGTTTACTTTGCCGGAGTGATGGTGAGGCTTATGCTCACTCTAACTCCAGTTGTCTGTATGCTTGCCGGAGTAGCGTTTAGTGATCTCCTTGAACTATTCTTCAAAGAAGAAGACGAGAGGAACGATCGGAGTAATACTGGAAGCGAAGAAGAAAGCGAGGAGGAAAGAGAAAAGAGTCCTGGTAGAGCACTGTATGACAAGGCTGGTAAACTCCGTAGAATGAAACACGAAAGACCTAGAGGCAATGGCGACGGTTTAGGTGTAAACCTTCGAAATGGTGTTGTTATCGGGGCATTTATGCTGATGATGATGTTTACCTTGCATTGTACTTGGATCACAAGTAATGCGTACTCTAGCCCTTCAATTGTTCTGGCAACATATAGTAACGATGGCGGTCGCGCTATTCTCGACGATTTTAGAGAAGCTTACTATTGGTTGGCACAAAATACACCTATCGATGCTAGGATTATGAGCTGGTGGGATTATGGTTATCAAATTGCTGGGATGGCTAACAGGTAAGTGTTCTTAAAGAAATAAGTATATTTCGTGATGACAATTTTATTGAGTAGTGTATATAAAATTATGGAAATGCATTTGAAATGGATTGAGAAATTAATGAATTTTATTCGAACACAGAACTACACTTGTGGACAATAATACTTGGAACAATTCACATATAGCTCTGGTTGGAAAAGCGATGAGCTCGAATGAAAGTGCTGCTTATGAAATTATGACGTCGTTAGATGTAGACTACGTATTAGTTATTTTCGGAGGAATGATCGGATATTCCGGAGATGATGTTAACAAGTTCCTTTGGATGGTAAGAATCGCCGAAGGTGAACATCCGCAAGATATTCGCGAGAGTGACTACTTCTCGGAGAAGGGAGAGTTTCGTGTGAATTCGGAAGGTTCGCCAACCCTCTTGAATTCGCTTATGTATAAATTAAGTTATTACCGATTCGGAGAAGTGAAACTTGATTATCGGTCACCGTCTGGTTACGATCGTACGCGTAATTCTGAGATAGGAAATAAAAATTTCCAATTAACATATTTGGAGGAAGCCTATACAAGCGAACATTGGCTTGTTAGAATTTACAGGTAACATGCCATAAATGCTGTTCACGCGATTGTAAATTGGCTTTAGCGGATTCCCATATTTCGTTGTGTTTTAAAACGCTTATTGAAATTGCAGGGTGAAGAAACCAAATGAATTTAATAGACCAAGCATTCCAATATCTAAACGAGTTATCACACGTAATGCCAACTCGTATGTCAGTAAAAAGGTGAGAATTTCATTTTTCATATCGCATAAAACCATCCTTCTTGCCATTTACAAACATTGATCGTATCGTTTCACGTTTTTCGCATTATAACGTTGTGTAATTTTGAAATGTAGTTGAAGTTTTGGGGGGTTGGACATTAATGTTTCAGACACCGCGTCGTAAGAAAGGTTACTTAAAAGGCCGGCCAACTGTTATTAAAGGACAGAAACCTCAACGAAGAACTACGTAACATACGTGTATTATCTAATTCATAATAATTTTCAAATACAATTTTATAATAAAAGAAAGAATTACCGTCCCTTGGGTCTACCACAAACTATACCTCCTAAGAATTTAATATCATTGAAAATTTAACATCGATTGAAGAAAAGCAACGCTTAAAGCAATTGGGACACTTTTTTCAATAAGAACAACTTTGTAAAGGAGGGATCATATTATTAGTTTGATGTATTACACTACATTTAATTCTTGTTGATTTTTTTAAGATTATTAAATGCTGTCTATGTATTATCTCTTACTAGGCTTAGGCAAAATATCATTTTTTTAATGATTGCAGCTTCCGATGCATCTTTATAACAAATTCACTTTATTTATGCAATATAAAAGCAATATCTTTATATGTCTAAAAATTTTTCTGTACTTATTCAGTATTCAACCTTTGGCACAAATTTTTATTGTCCGCTTTATGAGTATTGTACGTTTATAGGAGCAAACAATGGATGTGAAATATTAAATTCTGAATTGTCGAGTGGAAACACTGAAAAATAATTACGTGTACATTTTTGTTATGCCTGTGTAATGCACACTAAACTTCAATAAAAAAAGGTTCACTAGTCGAAGTGAATAAAAATATTTATTAAATGTCAAGCAAGTGAGATCGGAGGGAGATATGTTATGCATACAAAGTTTATTGTATATTACCATGTTGAACATTTGTAAGAACACCTGTCCCTCAAAATTATTGTATCACTTTAGCATTTGGTTTCGAGCACCCTACACACAATTGTAAAAAGAATTGAATTTAATGAAAATCTGTTCCTAAGCGTCATTGTATTACCTTCACTTCAAGTTTCTTTTATCAATCTTCTTGATACTTTTTGTACATGGATATATATTTCTTATAATCATTATAAGCAAGCCTAAAATTCGTGTGGTTTCATAATCTACATTATTACATTTTTTTACATGAATTTACTTTACGTTGATTATTATCTTTAGATACGTGAGTTTAGAAGGTCAAACGATTATAATTAAGAAAACGTTAAATACCCAACATAGATGTATGTTTAATTACTTAGGAGAGTACGGAAAAATTGTATAAGGTTGTAAAATACATTGCTACGGACATCACTTTATCTTCTATATAGAATTGAAAGTTGTTATGTTAATAAACAAATTTAATACAAATTGTTATATAATGTGGAAGGCAGACTATTTAGTAAAAGCAATATAATGAATTTTATTACATAATATTCGGATTGATTTATATTTTTCTGGTAAATAATGGAATATTACGTTTTAACGAGACAGGACTTTCAACGAGAGGTTGAAAAAACGGATGAAACAATTCAACAGGTGGCCTTTCATAATATATGCATTTCATGAATAGGTTATAGTCTTCTAAATGTCAAAATCAGCTGATCAGTGATAACAATTTTTCAAGCCTACTAGATTGACGAATCTTATTTCTTGTTGTTGTCTTCCATTGTTTATTAATAAA